TTAAACTAAGGGTACGAGTGTGTTAAGTTTTTAATTTAGTAACTACTAATAAAAATTAACTAGGTACGATTAGTTATTGTTCGTATTTTAATTAGTATACTCTCTCTCTCTCTCTCTCTCTCTCTCTCTCTCTCTCTCTCTCTCGATGGATTGCCTTCATGCATGCATGCAATTTCTTTTTGTTGAAAACTATTGTTTAAAGGTTAAGGAGTAGAGCCATTGATCTAAATTTTAGTTAAGAGGTCTGTTTATGTTAAATATATGTCAGATCTAGTTGAATTTTGACAAATGGGATATGCCATCTGATCTTATTCGAATTCCTGCAGTAAAATTGTAATACCTGTTTATAAAGAGCGATAAATTTGATTAATTCTATGTGTTTGTCGAAATCATTGTTGAATTTTGGTTTATATAGATTAAGGATTTGCTGCAGTTTGTTAAGCTTGAGGTTTATTTTTGGTGGAATATTTCAGATACATTTCTCTCTTTTCTTCATCACTTTTGCATTTCTGAAATTTGCAATTTTTCAATATTAGAAAGAAAAAAAAGGTTTTCGAATATTGTAACGTGAGGTTAAAATCTTGTAGAAACTTTTGTATTAGAGATTCAGGGTAATGGTACTCTTCTCATATATTATCGCTAGATTAACATGTTGCGCTGCTTGTGCATTTTATCCAAGTGAAATTTGGTTCTTGTAGAATTTCAGCAATTTATAAAGGTTTACTTTAGAGTTCAGAGAAAATAATACCATGTGATATTTCTCCAAAAAAAAAAAATCCATGTGTTAAAAGATTGTCTGGAGAAAGCGAAAGTTCTGATTAGTTTCTAACTCGATCTCTGAATTTTTTTTTTAAAAGGTGAGGCGTTATTAACTTTTCGATGATTTTTCTTGATATATTGCACACGAATGCCAAGAGATCCCCTATAGTTCCATTTGTAAGACATTGTAATGGTAACTTTAAGGTTTATTCTCATTAATTATCTATCCAAAATCAACAAATTGAAAGGCTACCTTAGGAATTGCTAGGCAGTTTTGCACTTTTGTCAGGGCTTAATCTCACTGATATTTATCTTCTTATAAGTTTTAGATGAAATTCGACATATCCACTTATTTGTTGTATTTTCTTTCTATCTTTTAATCTTTATTTTTTGGTTTTTTATTTTTCTATGTATTACATTGAGATTTTAATCTTTTCTTTTGATGTTTTTGATATTATAAAGAGATGGACCGAACAAGAGCGAGGAGCCCCATTTATATCAGACAAAGCAGCACATCAAACAGCACAGACTCATCTTCTCCTGCAATGTCCCCTGCTTATCGTCATGTGCGTTCGGGATCCACTGGTCTCCCTAACTTCAAGAGATCACAGAACTATGCTGCTAAAGCTGCAGCCCAAAGACTCAGGCAAGTCATGGATTATCAACCAGCTGAAAGTGATGGAGAAGATGATGACCTCTCCTTTGATTTCAATCTCTCGGCCCAGTCTGGAGGTAGTATGGGTGTTTTGGCTGGAAGGGGAATGCAATCGCCATCTCCTGTGGTAACTGGAATGCTCTTTTTTTCCTTTCCTTTTTCTTCTTTAATTATCATTATTTTCAGTAAGCTTTTGATTTTATGTAATTCATAAAGTTGGTTATTTGTATGGCTTTAGATGATGAATATTTACAATGGCAATGCTAGTATTTAATATGTCAATACTTAACTAAATGGTTCCTTGGATTGTTGGCATGTCATAAAACATGCATTTCACATATTATTGCTATTACTATTTTCTGAAATGTCTATTGCTATTACTACTATTCTTCTCGTTATTGCTGATGTTGTGTGCGAATGTTTCATCATCATTGATTTATGGGAAAATTATGGAAAAGTCTCCTTACAAAAATTATTACTAAAACAAGGACCCAAGTCTTACTTTGTTTGTGCTGTTTTTATCTTTTTTTTTTTTTTCCAAATTATGTCAAGTTTGGAACTTCAGGTTCCAGAACGATACATTTTTTTCTTATATTTTTTTTATGTGAAAAAGCAGTTTGGAAGTTCAAGTTTCAAACCCATGTTTAAGTGAAAGCTGGGTTGGTAACTTGAAATGTTGGACCCAGATTTCATTAAAAAAAACTACGTGCTGGGTGTGGATATTGGAGTTCCGAACCCAACACACTTACTATCACTATTACTATTACTGTTGGTGGTGGTGGTGGTGGTGTTGCTGCTGCTGCAGCTGGTTTAGATGTTGCTGTTGTTTTAGTAAGTGTTTTGTATCATTATTTTCGCCGGCTTATACATGTGTTTGGGTTTATTCAATATTTCATTTTTCTTATTAGTTAGGTCGGAACCATGTAGAACAAGTTCCAGCCGCTCGCCCAACAAGTGCTGGTCGGCCGTCTATATCAGTTAAGCCACCATCTCCATTGGTACCAGTTAGCAGACCATTGCTGAAACCACAAGCTCCTGTGCCGCCATCGGAGACACCTTCAGCTAGATGGGAGAAAAGGTGAATGTGGAGTACAAAACTATCTCAATGGACTTAAATGTAGCAAACTCACCAAATTTTCATAAATAGTTTGTCCTACAATAAGTTTTTTGAGCTAAACTTCTAATACCCTCATTTCAGTGATGTTTAAGTTCACTGAAAGGGAGTTTTTGTGTTGATTTACTAATGCCATCCTAGATTATTCCTTCTATAATAGCAATGTGCTCTATTGTTAGGAACATGAAATGAAAGCAAGAGTGGAAGTTTCACATCAAAACACAATTATAGAACATGAGTGCCTGTAAGCACACATAGTCTTGCACATAAGTTAGTACTTGCAATTGTGTTCATGTTTTTCTTAAGGTTTTATATATACTATACAGACGCGTGCATCTGTAGCATACATATCCGGTGTATACACATATGCGTAGATGCATATGTCCATGCTTGCATATGTATAAGCCAACCTTTTTTGCATCTACAGGTGAAGTTTCTTGGACAACACATAATATGATCGACCTAAGTCAAGTGGAACAACAAATTTTGCTGTGTGCAGTGTGGCTATGTTTGTAATAAACACATCACTACCACTTTTGCAGACACAATAGTTTAAAGAAGGAACCCTCAAACAATTGTGTTTTTACCTCATACTTTAATTATGTAATTTTTCATAGATCTTATGTTTCTATAATCATTGGTTTAAAATGTTTAAAAATTATATGTCAGGGAATATTCTAGATTGAAGAAGAAATTTGTGAACTAGTGATATTGTATGTAGTCCCTTACATGCTTATTTACGCCATAGTGCTATTTCGGTTTTGTTTTGTTTAACATGACATGGTGTGTGATAAATATAGATCATAGGTTGTTCCTGTTTAAAAAAATCTACATTTGTGCTTGTCATATCTATCAAGATTTTCTGGGACATTTAGGCTGTTAGCATGTTCATACTACAGTTCGTCTCTTACATTTTGTGTTCCACAATACATGGTTTTGATTATCACTGTTCTTACGGATATCTTAACCAATGCAAGTTTCACTTTACATGTATAGGCATTCGGTAGATTTTGGAAATATGATTTCAAAAACAACTGGCAATCAGCAAGAGGCATCTGCTCTCCAAGATGAGGTTATTGATGTCTATAATCCACTTTATGGCATATTTAACTTTTCATTAATTTGTATTCAGAACCCAGTTGCTGTCTGATCATGGTGATAATAAATTATTTATGTTGAATTGCAGCTTGACATGGTGCAGGAAGAAAATGAAAGTATTCTTAACAAGGTGCAATGCAAACAACATTCTATCCTTCAGTTGCTTTTGAGATTTAGTTGAAATTATTGTTTATCTTCATCATGTTGAAGTGTGTCTTCCTGCCCTTTGGCTGGCAAATTATAATTAGTTCATTGTGTACAAATTTTATAATGATATATGTCATCATCCCAGCTTCGAATTGCAGAGGAGAGGTGCGAGGCAGCAGAAGCCAGAGCCAGGCAGCTTGAGAAACAGGTATTCTTCTACCTTAGCTTTTATGATTGGCAACTGATCATATTTGCATACAGAAATATTCATATTCCTGTGTGTTTTTGCTAAGGAAATATCCTATGTTTGCAATAGTTTTCCTCACTTCTTTCTTCTAGTAGCATAGATGCCACCCTTTCTTTATTTCTGAAATGCTATGGAACTGTTTTGGACTTTTGATTGGACGAACGTTGATTGCCAAGTTGACTCCTGCAATATTGAACTATGGCATGAAATTGAGGTGCTTGAGATCTTGTCAGAGCCTTATATAAAGCTCCTTTCCAACCTACAATATGTGGGACTTAATTCCAATAATGCAAATTTATACTCATGTGAATCACCATCACAAATCACTCCGGTACAGGACAGTAAAATTTTCTTAAGACACCCAGATACAGGATGCAAGTGGCCAAGACATGATGTTCCAGGATATTAGACACGGATGTTGTACCCATTTTCAAGTTTCTGTGCCTTCTTGGTAGTTTTGGATTTTAAATGGATTTAGTGACACTAATATATTCATTGTAAATGCGATTGCCATTTTTGTGTTTGTATGGGATGATTTGGCTAAAAATTGTTTTGTTTACACGTTGGGGTACTAGTTTTAACAATGACTCCTACAATTAGATAGGGGCCTGTATATTTTTTACCACCCATATGGTCATAGAAAGTGATCCCAGCTTACAATTTTAATTAATGAACTGTATGACCCTCCTTTTTCTTCATCATCATCATACCAATTGGTTGGACTATGATAAGCCAATGTTCATGGCTGTCAATATGACAATATAAATCGTAGTATATTTTTCCATTTAATAGACTTACCATTCAATGATTTCTTTCTTTCTATCTGTTTTGTCTTCCCTGATTTTCTGTGCTCTCTATGCCTCCCATTTGTGATTTCCTTAGTTCTGGCAGTTTCTTGACAATGATTGTTCAATAAGCTATTATGTTTATGTGATCGCTTTGTCGGTTAACTCTGTTTTTCGGTTAATATGTACATATACATGATATCTACAAAAACTTTCTTGAATGTGTTTGTAAGAAGTGTGATTCTTACTGTTTCATTCTTTTTTCTTCTACATGATATCTACAAAAACTTTCTTGAATGTGTTTGTAAGAAGTGTGATTCTTACTGTTTCATTCTTTTTTCTTCCACCAAAATGCAATTTGTTTTAGGTTGCTACTCTTGCGGAAGGGGTATCCCTAGAAGCTCGTTTGCTAAGCAGGTAAATCATGGCTTTGGAGTTTCATCTTACTTGCATACATTCAGGTTTTGGAACTGAGTATGTAATCTATAACTTTGATTTTCAGAAAGGAGGCAGCCTTGCAGCAAAGAGAGGTTAGTTTTAAATTATCTCATCCTGTTAATTGTGTGTTTGGATGCACACATGCATGTAAAGTTTGAAACTTGTTTTTCTTTCCCCTACATTGTCTTGCTATACATTGAACGTATATGGGAATAATTAGTTGCTTTAACATAAACATGTGTTCTGCCTAACCAAAAGTATTCTGATGTACGAGAGATGTACAAGTGACTGATATGCGGTACATTAATGCTGCCCATACATTTCTGAAACAAAAATTAATTGAAGGTTCACATAAATAATCTTCCACCTAATGACATATTAGGTGGACTATCACATTCAATACAACATTCTCTATTGAGTCTAGACAGAACTCCGATTGGCGAATCAAAACTGGGTAATGTGCCATAAGTGGCCCATCAATAACTATCATAAAAAATGGTATGTAAATGGAGCCCACAAGGGATGAATGATGAATGAATTTCATGATGAAGGTCCTTTATAACTTTATTGCTTATTATTTACTACAGAATTTTGAGAATACATATGTCTAGGATGTTGAAATTGTTTTCTTGTGCATCTAAAATTTCTCTAGTGAACTGATGTGATGTTCGTCTTGAATTCCTATATTTTTCTGATATGAGTCAAACAACAATTCTAATGACATCCTATGACTCAATGACTTGATAGATGTTTTGCTTGTTCCTGTATTTCTCAACAATGAAGGTTGCTCCTTGATCTGCCAAAACAGCATCATAGATTGTCGTCAACATAGCTGCCATAGTTTGTTTTAGCTCTGCACTTTCTTCTCAGTGGCAGAAGGGTGTTTTGTTCCCTTACTATGTGACATGACATAGTTGCCCTCCTGATCTGTATGCACCTCACATTCCGGGACCACTGATGGCCACATCAATGTTAATGCCTGTGCCTTGTTGTACCATTGACTGGTATCACGTCACTCATTGTAAATGTTATACTCGAGCAGGTTTTGGCATCATTCGTTATAGACTCCTCAATTGTATCAATGTGTAATTAAAATCATAGCTATCAAAAGAGGTAAAGGTAAATATAAAAGTTAGAAGTCATTGTTCAAAAACTCTAGCTTAGTTGCTGACTTTGGGCACTGCCAAAACCAAGCCAGCTTGCTAAGTCAAATATTTGGCTCAGAGAAACACTTAGTGAATTTTTAGGGAACTTGTAAGAATTCTAAAAAAGAAAAGGGTCTATAATGGGAGTTGAATCCAGCTGGTCACCAGAGTCATACAACAAAGCAACCACATTGGAAGAAACCATTTAACTGCTAAATGAGCATTTAAAATTATATAAAAGGCAAAACATAGATGCATCCCAAGCTTTTTATTTATAAACTTGCACACTTGATATGTTGAGTTGACTTGGGGGAGTGTTTCTATCTTGAGATGAGTTTTCTATCACTTCACATATAACTGTTATTTCGTACAAATCGAAGTAGACATAATGAATTTCATTATGTCCTTTGAGAATCCTGGCCAATGATGAATATTTACCAATGTTTTAATGGATTCCTCGGCAGTTATGTGTTTGCTTGAAGAATCCTTGGGAGCTTATTAAACATATTTATGGTTTTGCTTCACAGGCTGCTCTGAGGGCTCAAACACAAACAAAGAATCCTAGAAATGAAGAGATTCAAATGCTTAGACAGCAAGCAGCAGTAAGAGATATTCATATCTTGCTTCAGTTTAATCTTAAGCTAGACTTCAGCAAGTACTTTAAAATTTCCTTTTGATTAAGATTGATGTCTATGTATCTTGAGGTAGGCTGCAAGAGAAGGGGCACTATCTGTTGAAGAACATATGCAGGAAACCGAGTCTGAAGTGAAATCTCTCTGTTTAATGGCACAAAGAATGATTTTAAATCAAGAAGAAATGGTTTGTTGACAGTTATTGTTGAAAATGCTCATTAGAATTTATAAAAGATGATAATCTCGTTATTATACTTTCCACCAAGATCTGGTGAAATTTTATTATTTGTATATCAGGAAGAGGTAGTCCTGAAAAGGTGTTGGCTTGCTCGGTATTGGAGTCTATCGGTTCGACATGGTAAAATTATTCCAAGCTTTGGCTCATCTTTTACTGATTTTTCCATTCTCTGGCTCGTTTTGCTCCCTGGAAAAATATTCTTGAAATTTCCAAGGAGAGAGATGATTGAGGGTTCTGTGGGAGCGAGAGAGACAATGGGTTTGTAGGAGAGAGAGATGATTAGAGGTGAAGAGTATTCATTTTCAAAGAAAATTTTCCACCTATTTGATTGGAAGATCTTTTTCTCAAAGATAATGTAAGAACTAGGATGACAAGAAGATTTCTTTCCAAATCCCTATTTGGGAGTCAATCATTTGAAATCATTAGAGTGCCTCATTCCCAGGGTGAAATTCTTGTAAATTAAATTTCAAGGGCCCAAATGGGCCTTAAGCGTACAGGATATACATCCATCTTATTACCTAGGGCTAGAATTATATTATAAAGGATTGTCCCTTATATGTTGGAATATTCTTTTACTTGTTTAAATTCTGATTTCATGATTTTCAATGTGATATATCCTCTTCTCGCAGGCATTCATGCAGATATTGCCGGGCCAAAACATGAGTATTGGTCATCACTGGCTCCTCTGCCTTTTGAAGTTGTCATAGCTGCTGGACAGAGAGCTAAGGATGAACCTTGGAAAGGTTAGAATAGTGGTCGCCTATCGGCCCATTGGTTCTTCTGGCCTGATTTTAAGCCACACAAATTGCAATATGAGCTTTCATTTATACGTATAATGAATTGATTTGATTATTTTGATAGCAGATGATGATTTAGAGAGAAGGGCTGAAATTTCTCGGGATATAAATGATCTTATGGGGGAGGGAAACATTGAGAACATGCTTTTAGTGGAAAAGGGAATGCGTGAACTTGCTTCTCTAAAGGTTCCATTTCTTGCTTTTGGTTCCTAAACTGTTGAAGGCTCTTAAAATCCATTGTATAAGTTTTGTTTTTCCTTTGTAGTTTTTTTTTTTTTGATTGCTGAATCTCATAGTGTTAACACTTCCATTTTTCTTTCTAAGGTAGAGGATGCTGTAGTACTTGCAACGAGTCAGCATCGTCGTCCAAGCTTGGTTAGGGTTGGTCAATCAATCTCAGGTATGTTTTATGTCAAATTTGAGGAAGCTTCTTATTTTAGTGTATATATTAAGTCCATTTTTATGAAGGTCACCTTCGTTGCTAATTTTCCTGCAATGCTTCCACTAGATTTTCTGTTCATAGCACCATCAGTCCTAGACATTTTTCTTTCTTTTTCTGCCATATGTCTCAATCGCTTGATGACAATTGTTTTACTTGGAACAGTTTTGATCTCAATTTTTGGATTTTTATAATGTCACATGTAGAGTCATGCAAAGCTAAACTTTTATTGATATGTTCATTTGCAATACTGGGGCATGGCATTTGAAAGAACAGAGAATCAAAATTTTTGTCTTCACAGTTGAAATTGGTGTCTCATGTACGGAATATACTTATTCGGTTTTACTTCCAGATCAGAAGCTGCCTATTGATGGTCAGAATCTTGTGGAAGCTTTTGGTGAGTATGTGTAGAATATGATTTCTCAGTGTATATGTTCTTCTGGATGTAATCTTCTAGAGAGATTAAGACATGCCATTCTTATGTCCCAAAACAACTGAAGTATCCTTGGAATATGTTTGAAAAACTGTGTTACAAAACTCGCCGAGTTTGACCTGAACTAGGCCAAGCCATTCAGACCCTTCAGGGTGCTGGGTCCAACTGAAAAGCCTAACGTACCAGCCAAATCTTACTGGTTTGTGAGGCGTATTTATTATTAAGGATTGTACTTTTTGACTAGTCTGACTTGGGTTCGGCCTGTCCGACCCACTGACCGGGAGTTATGCCCTGCCAGGTTCAAGGGCCGAGTCCGAGTTTAAGAACACTGAAAAAATTATTGGGGGACTTGATCTTTCATCTTATTCAGTTATGACTTTGTGTCTTCTTTATTAGTCTGTGATGCATTTAGATTCTCATTACACACTGGACTGAGGTTGGGGAATCTTTTTGGCATTTTGCAGAGCTGAGCCAAGAGGAATATGAAGATGTCCTTTTTAAGCAGGTACCCATTCAATACCCTATAAAATCTTCTTCTTATTTTGATTAGCACTTATCATTTGCTCTATATACATTTTACCACTCTATTGATGATTGGGGGTGCCAGAGATAACTCAAACATTTTGCTTTTTTTGTTTGAGCTTTTTACTTCTATTTCATACATTTGCCAACAGACCATGTTTAACACTTGGTCACACCATTCCCTTGTTGTTTTGCTGACTAAGCAATTCTTTTTGCACGTTTTGGCATTGTATTGTTTCAGGCTTGGCTTACATATTTCTGGAAAAGAGCGAAGAACCATGGTTTGGAGGAAGACATTGCAGATGAGCGGTTACAGTTCTGGATCAGCCATAGCACTCAGACCCCTACATCTCATGATGTAGTAGATGGTAACCCTATGACCTACATGCTCATCCCATTCTTTTATTTATTTATTTATTTAATTGCCAACCTATTTCATAGAGTGAAGTTGTTGAAATTTGATGTGAGAATTTGAAACTGATCGAGTCTGACTAAAAATCTTTTAACAATGCTTATGGAATAATAGTTTCTCGATCATATTCCGGAATTTGCAATTTGATATTGAACGTCTTTTCATCATTTGCAGCTCTTCTCTCCCATACCTTCACTCTCTTTCACCTGTCAAGTTATAGTTCTCATAGCGTATTTCCATCAAGACTTATGTGCCATCTGAAATCATATTTTTCCTATGGTTTTCTACATACATGACTTAAGTTTTCATCTCTCCAGGCATTAAGTGTCACTAGTCTAGAGCACAGTAACAAATTTCATATATAAAAGCTTATGTTGCTGAGTGTTTGATGTTCTTGTATTTCGTTACAGTGGAGCGAGGACTGATCGAGTTGAGGAAACTAAGCATTGAAACCCAGCTTTGGGAGGCATCTCGCAAAGATATCAACCCAGAATCTCCAAATCTAAAGCAAAATGGCTAGACCGAGTAAACTGTGCATTTTAGTTGAAGATTATCATTTTATTGTTCTTTCTCTAAGTTCTTTTCCATGATGTCCATCCCATTCATTCTAATCTTATATTTATTTTTTATTTTTTGTTTGTTTATCTAAATAAGAGCCATATCTTATGGCCAAGGCAGTGTCCCCCTGTTAATCATCATTAACAAAGTTTACCCAGACGCGGTCATGTGTACCTCGCCTACCATCACATTCCAATGGTGGAATTATTCTTTGATTATTTTGAACAATATGAATGTGCTAGTTCATGTGTTAGTTGTTAGCTAATGGCCGGGGGGTTGTATGGTATGAGACTATTTATTTCATTTATTTTTGTATTAAGAATGTCAAAATACTTTTTAGCCATTGGATGTGAAATTCAATGTGACAATAGGTCTACATCAGGGGTGGAGCCCATACCTCTTTGTTTTAGTTATAAACGATTTGACTAGACACCTACAAGATGAGATATTGTAATGTATGTTGTTCACACAGTTTTGATTGATAAGACCCAAAGCAGTGTGAACATAAATTTAGAACTTTGGAGGGCTGCTTTAGAAGATAAAAGTTTTAAAATTAGCTGGACAAAGACAAAATATATGGATGTAAGTTTCGTAATAATAAAAGTAGAGATGATAAAGTAGTTAAGATTGATAACCAAGAAACATAAAAAGGGAAAAGTTTATATAAGGTTGCAACCTTAAAATGTAGAATTACAGATGCACTTCAAAAATCCATCGAAAAAGGTTATTTTAATGTTGAAATATCCTTTAATTGATCATCTCGACATCGTGATGTATGAATATGTAAAAAATATATTTTGAGTCCCAAAAATAGTGCATCTTGCATCATATTATTTAGACCGTCAATTTTCATGATTTTTGCATGTTTATAGGCCTACATGATTTAAGTAATTTTTGGAGTTTAAAATTTTATAATTAAATATGAAAATACATTCTTAGATAATATTAAGAATTTGTTACACCAAAATTACATGTTAAAATAAAATTTGGTGATGTGCTTTAATTGGATTGTTTAAGGTTGCAACCTTATTGAAACTGCACCCATATAAAAAAGAGATCACTTTCTATATATTTTGTAAAAGGTACAATTTGGTTGTAAGAGTATCTTTGGATAGATACAAAATTCTAAAAAAAATTAAAAAAAATCGCAAACTTCGTGACTCATCTTAAGCCATCTAATTTGACATCTAATGAGTGAGAATGAGTGTAACCTTCATGTACAAAAGATAAATGATCCTTTTGTAGACAATCTCTTTTTTAAACATTTGTGTTTAGCGGTCAGACTTGAAAGTTGAAAGTTAAAACCAATTCTTATAGAACGAGGATACGACGTCTCCTGGTCCTAATGGGGGAAATATATTTTATATTTTACAATCAAGTCCTACTTTTCTATAATATAAAGTGTATTTTAATTTGGAAAAAAATTATAAAAGTGTCAATGTTATACTATAATAAGGTGCACCTCAAAAAATTACCAAAACAGGTTGTTCAGACACTACAAAACTTCCAATTGATCGTCTTGACCTTGAGATGTGTTGACATGAAAAAAAATTAGTTCAAGTATTGAAAATAGTGCATCTTGTGGCACATTAACTAGACAATCAATTTTCAATATTTTCAAATGTTTATAGATGTACTTGATTTGCACCATATTTAGAGCCTTAAATTTCACGATTAGGGACGAGAACAATTTTTTAAACCATCACAAAGTCCCGAAAAGGAAAAAGTTTATATAGGTTGCAACTTTAATATGTAGAATTACATATGCACCTCAAAAATCCATTGGAAAAGATTGTTTTAATGTTGAAAGACCATTTAATTGATCATTTTGACATCGAGATGTATGAATATGATAAAAATAAATAAAAAATTGAGTCCCAAAAATAGTGCATATTGCAATACATTATCTAGACTGTCCATTTCAAGATTTTCATATATTTATAGATCTACTTGATTTTAACCATTTTTGGAGTTTAAAATTTTATAATTAGATATAAAATTAGATTTTTAGATAATCATAAGAATTTTTTTCACCAAAATTGCACGTTATGATAAAATTAGGAGGTGTGCCTTAATTGGATTTAAAATTGATACTTTATATAAAACCACACCCTTTTAATTTTATCTCTTTTTGGGTACATTAGATCAAACTCAAATTTGGTATGATTGTCATATGACTATAAAAATATTTAAAAATAATCTAAAATAAATAAATTTAACATGCTACCATATACTATCCAAGCCTAATTTGGTAGTTGTATTAATTCTAAAATGTTTTTTTAAATATTTTTCTTAAGTGCATGATAGTGAGAAATATGAATATATCAAATTTGATCTTAATCCGATGATAAAAAGAGGTAAAAGCAATGTGAAAAATGGAGTTGATTGCAAAATGTGAAATATATAATACTATTTTTAAATAAATAAAATATTATTATCACAAAGGATTGTCTATAAAGATATCATTTATCTTTTATACATGGAGTTCACAATCATTCTCCTTCTTTAGATATCAAATTGGATGGCTTGGGTGAGCCACAAAGTTTGAAATTTTTTTTTGTGAAATTTTGTGTCTATTCAATAACTTGGTCTCTTTGTAGACAATACCATATTACAAATGCATAGAAACACATTTCAGTTGGGCAACTTGAACATGGTCCACAATTTGAAAAGGGCTGCAAATGTAGAAAAATTGAAGTTGAGAGGGATAGTACGATCAACAATTATATCTCTCTCTCTTTTTGTTATTGTTGTTATTAATATTATTATGTAATCGATCGACATTCATTTTGGTACTTTGTCCTGATTAAAAAAGAGAGTAAAGTTTCACTTCGAAATCTTGTTCAAAAAATACTTTGGGCATCATAAAACGGCTCTAAAATAAATTTCCACACCAACTACAAAATTTTTGAAGCTCAAAAATAGTATAGAATGTACATATGTGGCCACTTGAATAATTCAATGCAAATGTGAGCTTTTCATGGTAGAACTTGTATATATGTATTTACCCCAAAAAAACAACCACAAAAATAAAAAAGAAAGGGACTCCTACCTAGGTCATGTTGAGCTGGGGTGAGGCAAGAAAAACTAACACTCAAAAAAACTATTGTTGAGCCGGGGTGAGGCAAGAAAAACTAACGCTCAAAAAAATTATTTTTTCTTCTCATTATTATCATCATTGTCAAAGCTTTCTTGTTTCAAAAAATATCATTTTAACCATTAGATGACTACAAAGTAAACCTTTTTTTTTTTTTAAATTGTATATAATGAGACAATTTATCTTTAATACAAAGAGGTTACAATTATTTACAACTATCAAATGTGAAATATAATAGTTTGGGTGTATTGTAAAGTTCGAGATTTTTTTAAAAAAAATTTGAGTTTAGTAAATAGAATAAATATGCCCACTAATTTCACATCTAATAATCAAGATTAATTATAACTACTTTGTACAAAAGATAAATGATCTGGATAATATTTTTTTATTTTTTTATTTTTTTGACCTTTTTTTTAATAAATATCTTAATCCTTCAATTGGGGTAATGACCTAAACCATAGGAAAATGATTGTAATGATTAGGCCGCTCTCCTCCCTCTACATGGGTATCTATTTTAAATTTGTGTCCTCTCTTCTGTGGAAAATGTTATAATGTCTTGAGGTCTTTTTCGTCATTTTCTATTCAATACTAACCCGTTGTATTGATCATCCCGAGAGTAATGTGGTAGATATTTACCCCTTCGAGAACCTTCGTTCGACTTCTGTCTTATGCATTCGACGCGCACATGTCCTTGTCAAATCCTTTAATGCCCCACACAACCCTTCATTTGATCCAATTTTTGTGATCCATGAAATGCTTCACACTATTTACCTAAATTGCTCTCAATTTATTTTTTCTTATTTAAAAAAGCAAAATAACCATGATGTTTGAATTCTTGGGACATCTGAATAAGTCATGCAATTGAATATTATTGGTATTGAAACCTTCTTTTTATTGGGTGCAGTTTTACAATATTTGGTATACTGCACATCAAAACTCTATTAAAAATGTAGTAGTATCATAAAAGACCCTTAAGGTGGCCTTAGAATAGTGTCTAGTAGATATATGAACACTTGAAATAGACAATACATTAAATTGTATTACAAAATAAACGTTTTTAATGGTTAAATTCTTCTCTTTTGTGGATCAGGGTTAAGATGATCTTTTTGCATATTTTTTGTTATATGCTATGAAATACTTTTCTTTTCTTGGTTTCACATACAAATCACATCGATACATGGGGTTGGGCTGAATTGGGTCGGCCTTGTCCCATGCCACCCCAGTCAACCCTACCCATAGGCTGTAAGCCAACCCTACCCATAGGCTGTAAGCCAGGATCAAGCCCTATTTTTTTAAGGTTGGGCCAGGCCACCCCTCTCGATATTTTAATTTTTACTATTAATGCAAATAATGTTAGTTGAACAATCCAAGGGGGGTTAAGGATATACAGGACATTATGAAACTTGTAGTAGCATGTAAGAATTCGACTCATCTTACCATGGGAAAGTATATTCCGTGATAATTGCTAGCGTTTTTTACACTATGATACCAGCTTCCTGACCGTTGGATCCTACTAGAGTCTGGCTGGTTTCCGGCACAAGTTCGCAATCTGACGGTTGTAGAGGTGGTAGTACATTATAGGAAAATGAAAAATACGAGAAGGGAGTAGGTGGAGGTGAGAGTGTGGGAGAGAGGAGTATTTCATGTGATCGATAAACCATTGGTCAGATGATTGTTGATAGCTCTTTCTCTCTCTTCATTTGTGCAGGGTGATCTTTCTCTCTCTTCATTTGCGCAGGGGTGTCCTGAGGTACGCCTTTCCACTTTAGAGGAGTTAGGGTTTCTATCACTTCAATTTGATCTGTTCTCGATTATCTGCTCTATCAATTTTGTAGTTTATTTGTTTTCTATGAACTCTCTAAAATCTTATGCTTCATTTGGTACCTTGATTCTCTCTCTTCTAGGTTTTGATGGTTGTTCTTCATTCTCTAGTTTACTGCATTCACTATCCTTCCATTTTTTTCTTATTGTTTTGATTTTATAAGCTACGACAATCGAATCTGATGATTTAGACTTACTTGTGGGGTTCTCGGGTCTCGAGTTTTAAGATTTATGGGTACTTAAGTTTTAGGTTTTTTCTGTTACTGGTGGTTGTAAATAAGTTTTTTTTCTGTTTTCTTTTTTCTGTTATGTGCCTCGCTTTGTTATCTGAATTGATGGCTTGATCTCATTTTGAGGGGTTTTGAAAATATTATTAATGAGAAACTGAGGAAAATCCTGAGCTGTTAATGGGGAGGGAAATAGTTTGGTGATGCCTAAGAAGTTGTGATTTAGTGATCTTTCATGTTGATTTAATAATAAACTTATTTTTTATCCCTTCTTGATTTGATCCTCTTTAAGGGGTTTAGGCCTTTTCAAGATTAGTATTTTTTCACTTTTTCTATTGGGTGCGATAGAATTTCTCAGAATTTAAGCGAAATTTGTCATTGTCTTTTCTAATCATCCATAATTTTGGCGGTTCTTTATTGTTTTATAAATAAAACTTATTGATTTGATATTACTGAAAATAACTGTTATTGACTAAGATCGTGCTAATATTTTGCAAACATTGCTTTTGTGAATTGAGGGTATATAGTGGAATCAGGTGTGCTTTCAAATTTAGAAACTGAACTACTCGTGTATTTTTCATAAAAAATGTTGATAACATCCTGATAACCCTGGAAATATTCTTATATATATATATATATATAGACCTGTCTTGTGTCTGCAAAGTTTTGTTGTTCAGGTCATCCATTTTGAAACATTTTGGTGTTTTAATATTTGTTTTGAGTCAGATGTGTTGACATTTTTATTTATTTTTGATAGTTTTGGTTTATGTGGAGCATCTGTTTTTCTTGTCATGGTCTGTGGAGCCTGTGTTGAGTGTTTGAATTTTAAGCTGCTTGCTGCCTTTGATGAGGTGAATTGTGCCTATCCGGTCAGGAAAAGAAGTAATATTTGAGGTTCTTAGTTATTAATCTTGCCTTCATCCCCTTTAGTTAGTAGTCTCTTTTTTCTTGTAGCAGATCACATATAAGATGGTGAAGGCGGTAGCTGTTCTTGGTAGCAAAGAGGGTGTTAGTGGCACAGTTTTCTTCACTCAAGAAGGAGATGGTAACCTTGTCTGTTTTTCATTTCTTATTTTGATTCTCAGGAGAGGATACATTTTTTTGTTGGATGGAGGATGGTAATTCTATTTCAGCAAATTTTTTATATTTTCATGTGACTGCACTAACAGACGGCATCATTAGTAAACATGATTTCTTTCTTGTAGGACCTACTACTGTAACTGGAAGCCTTTCTGGCCTGCAACCTGGGCCCCATGGTTTCCATGTTCATGCCCTTGGTGACACCACCAATGGCTGCATGTCGACTGGTACGACTTCAGTGGGACACCTCCTTTGTTTTTTCTTTCTTTTCTTTTTTGTTTCCTCTCTTCAGAGGATGACTTTAGTGGGACACCTCCTTTGTTTTTTTTTTTTGCTTTTTTGTTTGCCCTCTTCAGAGGGAGGGAGGGAGGGAGGGAGGCTACTTTGACACACACACATGCAGAGTGAGTCGCAGAGAGAGAGCGAGAGAGAGATTAACAGAGAGGGAGGCTACTTTGACACACACACATGCAGAGTGAGTCTCAGAGTGAGAGAGAGACTAACAGATTTTTCGATTACCAGGCCCACATTTTAATCCTGTTGGCAAAGAACATGGTGCACCAGAGGATGAAAACCGCCATGCTGGTGATCTTGGAAATGTCACTGTTGGGGAGGATGGTATTTATTATTGACTATTTCTCTTGTGTCTATTTCAGTCGCTTTTCCTTTGTTTCTCTGACTATTATTGGCGCTAAAATTTCTGTTGTCATTACCTTCTTAGCAAAAAGGAAATGCCCTTTTTCCCCTATTGTTACGAAAAGGGAATGCTTTCTTTCTTCTGCTTTCACTTTTTATGGATTGGTATCTGATATCATCCTATATAAATGTAAAGCTATGCTAAAAAATCATCTTCATGAGTAAAGCTTGAATTGAGGATTGAGCATATCCTTTGCATGCATAATTACTCTAAGATTTAATGTTGGATAGCAGCGGCACAGTTGTCATAATTGGGATCCTAATTATCATTTCTTTTTAGCCTTAAAGAGAGACCTCATAATTTCCTTGCCTCTCTCCCCACCAACACGCACATGTAGACAAACATAAGACATAGACATGCACATGCAAGCGTGCACACCATACTTTTGCACACATATATACTGGGGGCTTCTCCTTTGCTTTGGTTATTTATTTGGTGCATTCTTGATGCTTTCTTGCTGATTTCCTTCGTTCTTTTGTTTAGTGATGAGATTATGTTTCACGTGGTCTAGGTCCTTCCCATTATGTGGCTTTAGATTAGTCTGCAGCATCTGTTATTCTCTATTTTATTTTCAGCTGGCTCGTTGACATTGCTAATTTTTTATAACATCATCCATTGCACTTTTTCTTCTAATAAAATGCTCTCCGGATATGTATTACACATGCTCGTTAGTAATACATCTTGTTTCCATTTTCATCTTAAATACAATGTTCATATGCAAATAGGTGTAGATAGATTAGGACTATGAATTTGGGCATGTCACTTACAGCCATCCTTGTTTGCAGGTACTGCTAATTTCACCATTGTTGACAGCCAGGTAACTTGCTATGTTTTGTAAGCTATTTTCTATGTGTGTGTGTGCTTGTACGCACATTTATGGGGTTTCCTGGTATGTGATTCTAATCAGCTTTATGTTTGCAGATTCCACTCTCTGGGCCAAACTCCATTATTGGAAGGGCTGTTGTTGTCCATGCCGATCCTGATGACCTCGGAAAGGGTAGGACTATCTTTAGTTCTGTTGTTCGTTAGGCCTACAGAAATATGATTATTCTTCCTTATTTTTACCACTCCATAAGAATATTCACTATCTCTAAATCGTTGCTGTTGGACGTACGCATGTACAAACTCATGTGCTCCAAGTGTGTTACCCACAATGAACTCTTTCTGCCCCATTATTTAAGCACTTCATATTTCTTCTGAAATGTCAGTAGCCCCCTCATTTCCAAAGAGTAATTTGTTTTCTCAACCTTGGGTCAGTTTCAGTATATTTCATCTGAATTTTGGCTATAATTTATACTACATGGGACCTGATTTTAGTGCAATACCACAACTAGTGATTTGTATGACGTTCAACGAACATTTTGGCCAAAGCCATAGCCCTGGCACTATCATAAGCAGAGTGCATTATTAACTCTCTTCAACCGTGATTTGTTGAAAAAATTGTTTTTTTTTTTCTGGCTTACTGTTAAATAATCTGTGTAGGTGGACATGAACTCAGCAAAACCACTGGAAATGCTGGTGGCAGAGTTGCCTGTGGTAAGCTCCTTCACTATAATTCCCTTCATTGTTGTGTCTGATCAAGTGCAATAACTATTCTTTTATCATGAAATCTGAGAATGAATATTGATTGCCAAAAACGAAAAATATAGTCACTGATGATTCCTGTATATTTCGAAACAAAAAAAAAAAATTGCAGGTATTATTGGTCTCCAAGGCTGAATACCTGTTTCTGGATTCTGATGATTTCAACCTGAGGTGGTGATTTGCCTAAAAATCTAAGAAGCATGAGGCGTCAGGCAAACTTTAGGTGTTTTTGTTTATGAAATCTTCATGAACATTTAAATAGTGGAAATAATGGACCATGTGTCATGTGGATTGGAGCTTTTCTTTATGTGATCAATATACTGTTTGTTATAGCCTTCTATGTCAAGTTTTCTTTGTATGAGGTTGGACCAGATGTTTCTGGTACCCTGTCTGGGTTTGAGTATTCCTAATAATATTTACCTTGGATTTTTCTCTATCTTCTTTTGTTTTAGAGCAGATAAGAGTTTGGCAGGCATTAAGTGTTAACGTATCATGATTGGCTGATACATCACTCCTTGTGATGAGTCTTGCCTTCCTAAGGTGACTGATCCGAAGAAATTCATAATTATAAACTCGGAATAGTGAATAGAAGAAAATTTTCTCTCTAGTTGTAGTTCATTCATGTCGTAGTCATTAGGTGTTCAAAGAGCCCATGGGGCATCTGCGAGGTGCTTTTTCTAACCCCTAGATTGTTCTCCCAGATTTTGTGTTTAAAAGATGATGGTTTAAAATGGAGCTCATTTATTGATCACTTTACCTTTTTCGGATCTTTAAGGTGGGTGTGTGAAAATCTGGATACCATTAAAGTGTTTGCTCACGGAAAGAGCCTGTTGGTGATAAAAGGATGTTCAGGGCATTCATTGGCCTGCCTGGCAGTGCTGATAATGCGTGTGGAGATCAAGCGGCACTTCTGTCTTTTAATGTTAACACTAGAATTACATGGTTGCTATGAGAGGAATTTGATCATAAAACATCCACTGAATGTAATTTAAATATATCTCATACCTGGCTAGACTAATTTCTATTCAATGCACACTCTTTTGTGTTAAGAGCCAAGGGGAGCTCAGATAGATTGGTTTTATGGCTGATGTGAAACTGGCTTTGGTTGGATTTTTCTCTCTAAAATATTGTGCTTGCCCAAGAAAAAAAGAAAAAGAAAAAGATTTATACAAGGTAAATTCTGAACACACTGCAAGAATTACAAGAAAAAACTTTTGAGGATTAAGATATGGAAAGGCATTTGATGAGTTGATTGACTCACATTATTCTTGTGCAGTCTCCTTGCAAAATATATTTCAGAGATGTATTTTTGTTTTCAATAATCCTAACCATGATCTAAATTTGAATTCTTTTTTTTTTTTAAAAAATATAAAATGGCAGTTTAACTTTTAGTGGATGAAATATTTTTTGACATCTATCTTGGAGATGGACATTAGAGAGACAAGGGATCGCACAGTAATAGGTGGGTTGGCAGACTCACTAAAACCGTGTCTTTAAGATATTCTGATTTTGCCAAAGGCATAAAATAGTATAAATTTATGTTGAAGGGAAGTGTTTTGCACAGCTGCAGTTGCATGTGGCAGCGTGCCCTTGCGCTGTCCAATAAAATGGATAGTGCAGAATGCAGGGGGCATTCATCAATATGAAAACTTCTTAATCTTCAGTTTAGGGAAGGATTTTCTCATTTGGAAAATTGTTTCATGCCGGCTGAACTGTATTTCTACATATGCGGTGTGGTCCAGAAAGGTAATGCATCCATCGATATATAATGGAAACTAACGGTTCAAAATTTTTTTTTGTTAGAATTATTATTTCTAATTTTAATATTTATTTATTTTTTCATATTCATGATCTCTATGTTAGAGATCACATGTCTTTAAAAATTAAGTCTCAAAATCCATCTTAAAAATAGATTTATTAAGAGGCTCGCTTTTTTACGTATGCGGGCTTGGCCGCATTGAAACCGGGTCGTCCTTATTTTCCATCATTTCCTACCATATCCCATACGGGTCTTGGCTTGTTTTGCTATGTGCAAATGGAGCAATTGGGGCCCATTTGTTATATGAGTTTGTGACAGTGATCATTGGTTGGGACATTGAATTCAACTTCTGCAAATGGGGTGAGAGTTGGTATCTTCTGTTCAGCCAATGCCAAATTGTTGCTCAAGAGAATATGCGCCAATTTCACATCACTGTTTTCAACCCAGTTTTAATCACGAGCAAGCATACTATGCTCATGTGGGAGCATAACATAAATCTACTCCTTCGGTTAGAAGACCTAATTGCAATATGAAATTTTGAAAGCTACCCAAGAATCTCAAAATGAAATTTTTATTGAATTTTCTAGCATTTAAATCTTGCAATTTAAAAATTGAACTGTCTTTATTCGATCTTGAGACATTATTTTTTATTGAAGTATATAAAAAGCATTTAAGATTTTTTTTATTGAGGTTAATCTATGAGTTGAAGTGGTTACATCTTCAAAATTTGAGGTCCTAAAAATAATCCCTAATGGGGTTTTACCCAGGGAGTAAACAGACAATATACCCACGTAGAAGGATAATGTCTTTTGGCTTTGATCATGTATCATCAATCTAAGGATATTACCGAACAACGCTAACACATTTGGTACGCGTGAAAATATTTTAGTGAAAACATTTTTACATAAAAGAACTGCCTTGTGTGATTAGGTGTAGGTGTTTTTCCACATTAATGAGTCCGAGCATATTTTTTTTTTATAAAAAGGTTCTTTCATGCGAAAATACTTTCACAAAATATTTTCATGCATATCGCTGTGGAGCGGTTTTAAACCTGCATCAGATAAAGAAATCATATTTTGGCCAAAAGAAGGTATTGGCACTCAAAATGGAAATCAACTATTCCCGGCCTCTGATTTAAACTCTAAGGCCATTCCAAGTCTGACATTCTAAATTTCCAATTCAAACTAATGCAGATTGAATTCACCTATAACTGTGTTTGAGAATGCCTTTTTAGCATCATTGACACAACTCAATGCCAAAAGATCTCTTTGCAAAACGTTCTCAGGCGTGCTTATTCAGATTTCTCTTCTTGAATTGAACTGAATTTACTTGGTCTGTAAAATAGAGAAGTGTGTTGATGATCTTAAATTAAAGGTTATTTGGTTCCCAGCTCTGGTTATAAAGTTATTCTCTCTATGGGGAACCTGTAGTAGCTATTCAATTTTTCTCTCTTTGCGTTGGATTTAATTTATCTAGGAATGGAGAAGCTCTAACTATTCAATTCTTCTCTCTTTGGGTTGGATTTAATTTATCTATGAATGGAGAAGCTCTAGCTATTCAATTCTTCTCTTTGGGTTGGATTCAATTTCCTTTGTAACTAAATTGGAGCAATAGTGTTCATCAAGGCACCACGTCTTGGATTGTGTGTTTGAGAAAGGGCCTTAGTCCAGATACCCTAGTCCCCATAAATTGGAGCAATACTGTTCATCAAGGCACCACGTCTTGGATTGTGTGTTTGAGAAAGGGCCTTAGTCCAGATACCCTAGTCCCCACATTGTGGTTTTCATTTCCATTGAAACCACGCCACTAACGCTTTAAAAAAACTAAGGAAAAAGTTTATACGAGGGTAAGATCCTAAACAATCAAATTAAAGCACACCTCAAAAACTCATTAGAAAATGTTATTTTAATGCTGAAAAATCCTCAATTCGATTATCGATCTTAAAATGTATGGACATGAGAAAAAATAGATTTCAAGTTTCAAAAATAGTGCATCTTGTAATAATGCACTATCTAAACCGTAAAAAATCAAGATTTTCAAATGTTTATAGACGTGCTTAATCAACACTACTTTATAACTTCAGTTTTATAATTAGAGATGAAAATAAATTTTCAATTTATTATAAATATTTTTATACTAAAACAACATATTTCGACACCATTTGAAAATACGCCTACCCTGATTGTTTAGGGCCTCGGCCTTGTACATTCCACACCCAAAAAAACTCAACTCTTAAACCATTTGAAAAAATAGACGGGGGCTGTCTTCTTTACTGAATTACCAAAAAACAAAAAAAACAAAAAATACCATGGATTGTGGCCCGCAGAGATAATTAATAGGGTACCACTAGATGCGTGTGAGAGAATTAATAGGGCACCACTTGGCATTGATATGGGCATGGTATGACCCCTTTTCTTTATTTGTTTTGATTCCAAACCGGAATTTTGAGCGGGGAAACAATTAATAGGATGGCGGTTGCTATGGAAAATTTTAGGGCCCCATTCCCTTAAAAGTATGTTAACTTACCTGTAGCACAAGCATCCATTGGGTATAAAATTGGACGGTTGGGGTGTATTACACTACACTAAATGTCTAAAAAATAATTCTTTTGTATTTTGCGACACAATTTTAGGCTCCTAATTTGTGGCAATGGGTTGGGTCGGCCTGAATCCAACTCGGATTCAAGGTTTTGGCCCCGGACAAGACTCGGACTCGTCTTGGACCTAGATTAGACCCGTTTCAAGTCCAGGTCTAGAACCTAACAAAAACATTATATATATATATATATCACAATTACTTATAACTATCCGATGTGAAATTTGATAGCTTAGGTGTGCCATAAAATTCAAAAAAATTTCATTTGAATCTCAAACTTTGTCTATAAAATAAATGCAACGACCCAATTTCATGTAGTTGATTAATTGTGACCATCTTATACCAAAGATAAATAATCTCATTGTATATATTGTGGGATGAAGTTTCTATAAGGCCTAAACTTTACGAAAAGAACATAAAGCCTCACCTCAAATCCTCGTTCGGAAAGCACTTTCAACAATGAAAATCTCCATGATGGATCTAAAATCAATTTTTAACACCGACAATAAAAATTGAAATTAAAAAGATGATACAGATCTTGTGAATCTATAAACACTTATTTTTAGTATGAAATAGAATAACTTGTTATAATATACACTATTTTTATAGTTTAAAATTTTAATTTTTTTTTGACAACCATAATGTTCAAGCCAAGATATTCCATTAAAAAGGTTTTCCAATGCTTCAGTTGTAATTTCCAATGAGTTATGCAGTGAGGTACTTATTTGAATAGGGTTGCAGCCCTATCTAACCATTTTCCGTAATTATGATTCACCCCTGTACCAAGCTAAAGTGAGGTTGGATGAACGCGGCGTATTAAATGTTCCTGCCTGCCAAGTTCAACAGCCGCTAGAGTTATCAGTTGCAGAGTAGCAGCTCTGAATCCAAAGGTAAGAGAGAAATGCCCCTCCAATCCCCATCTTCTTACACACAACATGCCAAGAAAATGGAAATAAGGAAAACAAACAGGAGAGAGAAACCCAACTGAACAAAATTAGGAAAAGAGAAAGTGAGAAAAGTTCGGTTTAGACATATTATCTTTTTGGTTTTCCAATAACCAAAATTGATAAATTTTGTTTTTG